CAAACAAAGATTTTTAGAAAATCTTGGCACATTTGACACGGCATTTTATCCCCCTTTACAAGATTACGTTTTGCATTGCAGTGCAACAACGTGCTCTTGAAAATCATTGCAACCTATGCTGTTTGTCCACGGTCAGATTTGCCCAACTTGCAAAATTTTTGAAGCTATGCTTCGAAGGAATACAAGGGATGCATAGCGAAACTCAGTGGGACAAGAATCTTGTTGTAGGATTTATCGAATAGCCCTCAAATTTACAAAAGCACTTTTTCGAGCTGCTGAAATTCCGCCAACAAAGAAAGAGTTAGTTGCATTTAAATCCTCAAGCTCCCTAACTCGAAACAACTGATTATCGTTGAACACTAATTGTTCAGCGATAATCATTAATTCAACCTTTTGTTCTGCAAATTGCGGCGGTCCTTAAAAGACTTGAAGTTACTTTAAGGAAAATCTCATTCTGCATTTCTACAGTTCTCCTAATCGTGGTAAGGTTAGAGATATGATTTGATCGATGTGCATGTGCTTGATCAGGCAATCATACGGGCGTGAGCGCAAAACTTCACAAAGTCGCTCTGTTCGATTCATTTGCAGTTGAGTAGATCTGGCAGGTGGTTTAGTCAGCAGTGGTTTCGCTAAATCAACATTCAACAACTCAAGAGCCGCAGAGTCATGTCGACGTCGTATTTAACGGGTGAAATGGACCTTATGGATGTTACCGCCGAGGCTATTCCATCGTTCTCTCTGCCTCAGCAAGGCTTGTCAAGTGGCACATTTACCCCGTTTTCTGTGAGTGCATGTAAGCTTGTGCATGTCATCATCATTTCTCATACAGGAAGTTATGAGTGTGTGGAGAGAAGAACTTTGTGAACTACAACGGTCCGCAAGAATAGGGAACTCACAGTCACTCATGGACCAGACCGCTCAGACACCTGCCCGTTGTTCGCATGTTGATGCTCATCAGAGTGGAAGCAGGACGGGACATATTTTTGCAACAAGCAACGAAGAAACGCATGGTGCTCATTGGGAATTTGATAGCTGTTGCTCAGCTGACCAGGTTCTCGAGCAGGTATCCGCACTAGAATATTTTGCTTTGTGCACAAAGAATTAACAGCGAATATACATATAGGCAGCTAACATACAGAGCAATTTCCAGAAATGGGTTGCCCCGGAACGACAACTCAAGGAGAGTGTTTCAGAACATGACAGCCC